TTTATTTCTTATTTTTAATCCTTTTAAAATATCATAATGATCTTTTAAATTATCCATTTTTATATAATATATATATTTGTAAAGCGCTGTTGAACCTTGGGGAATTGGAGCTCAATAAATCATCATTATTATTATTATTATCATGACCCTCATGTGAGACAAACGAATAAGTATCATTTATTACAATGCCAAGATAAATCTTATTTTTCATTTTAACACCATTATTGCTCACGTACATTTATCTTTAGGGCAGCTTCAGTCATGGCCGAGAGAGGTAAGACTATTTACGTAGGAAGACTGAAAGACGATATCAAGAGAAAGGATGAAATGAAAATTGAATTGGAAGAAAAGGTGAGAAAATTAGAAGAGAAACTGAAAGACCATGACGAAAATTGCCAAACGAAAATCCATGATCTGGAAGAAGAGATAAAAAGACTTAAAGAAGAAATAACAAGACTTGAGGAAGAAATAAAAGAGATGAAGATAAAAATGGAAGACTTAGAAGAGAGCAACACATTCCTTGAAAAGGAAGCCAATGAAGCCAAGGYGGAAATCGGAGAGTTGAAGACAAAGTTAGGAAGCTTAGACGAAAAAATCAAGAAGTTTGACCTTCCTAAAGATGTGTTGGTTATTAGGCAACTCTGTTCAAGCGTTCAGGAAAACCTCTCGAGGATTGTGCTCCAGGAACATTTCAACGATATTCAGAACAAAAGGACTCAGTATATGGAAAATTACATTTCAAGGCAGATTAAAGACGAAGGCGAACAAGAAAGAGCCAGGTTAAGATGGGAAGAGTTACAGAAAGAAATCAAGTGGGACGAATTTTTGATTATTCAGCTAAAATCGGTCAAAAGTAGAGGGAACGATGCTGCTCATCCACCCTTGACAGAAAAGGTCATAGATGCTGCGAAAAACGAATTGGAAGAAAAGAAGGAGTTAGGACCGGAAATGGTCGAGGCAGTAGACCAACTCAAAGATATATGGGAAAAAACAAACCAAAAGCTAACGCAAGGGTAAGCATTTCTTGAAACCCAAAGTAAAACATCATATGCATGTTTTTTATAGGTTGACGTATTAATGTTTATAAACAGTGTTATTAAAATGTTTTAAATGTGCCAACCATCTTAACAATAGGTTTTGTCACTTATCAATCAACATTATCCAACAGTTGTCTAGTTTGCAATTTAAATGGCAATCAGCCAAAAGAAATTTCGTTACCGTACGCTCTCGTGGTTCCGACTCCCCTTAGTTACCTTTGGTTATGTCACACTGACAAGCGGAACAAATTAAGTTAGCTCCAATTATTGCAGATTTTTGAAATTCGGTTCGCGCATAAAAATGGCGCCATTCAATCACGCTTCACCGGGGGCTACAGGGGTTAGGAAGAATTTGTCGACAATATTGTACCCCTTGTTATCTTAAACATTGGGTTCCCTGTGTTACTCTGAAAGGATTCAATTCTGTGTTGTCCCGCGGCTTTGTGTATTTTGCCGTGAGTGAAATTGCGTAGTGCCGCAAAGATTGGTTATTTTGCTGTGAAATATTGTGTAGTGCCGTGTGAATTTTGATTTGCCGTGACAGTTATGGGCCACCGTACTACAGTGTCGAGTAGGTTATTCTAGCTGCACTTTCAAGTTGTTCGTTGTCACTAATTTCCATCATTGGGCTTTTTTGTGTTAAAGTTTAGTATATTTATGTTTTGCGTTCGCTAAGGCAATTGATGGGTTGCAAGCATCCCCAAGAGAGTTCAAAGACAAATCATGGCGGTCATTGTGGTGCCGTTAACAATGGATGCTAATGAGAAATCTTTTGTTAAATGGTACCAACGCTCCCCCGAGAGGCCGCGATGACGTAACGTGCAATCGAAAAATAAAGGACAAAGTAGAAGTGAACTCATTGATTGCAGAGATGGCAAAAAATCTCTCAGTTTAGAAGAGGTCAAAATTTGGCGAACCGTTTTACATAATTCCTTTAATATATAACGTAAACTGTTTAAAGGCGGAGGAGCTCACCACGCATTCTGTTCCCGGGGAGTAGGGCTTTCACTGGCTTTCATACACAGCAAAAGTGAATGCCCCGGGTATCCCCCAATGCGGGGTCCTGGGGTTTCAAATGACTGATGCATGAGTAACTTACCTTGTATTAGAGTGATATTTACTTGGTTATTTTTAGTTGGCACATAAAATAAATTTCCTACGTAATGATAAAGAAAGAAAAGAAAGCTTCTTAAGGACGTTCATGTGCATTGTTCGCGCGCAAAATTTCTACGCACGAATTTAGTGAGCGCGTGCTCAGCGTGATAACGCCATTCCAATGTTTTGATAAGCAAAATATTATAATAACGTCTTTAATCCGATTATAGCTCTAAAACAAAGTCAATCACCCCCATTTTTTATTTCATTTTTTTTAAAGTACTCGGTATACGTAACTTTAGAGAAAAAAATTTTAAAATCTGACAATGGGATCAAAATCGAAATTACATATTGTATAATTGAAAAATAATTTAACCTAACACGAAGGCTTCAAATCCACACTTATGGCACAATTACATTTTATTTTTCTAATTTTTAACAAAAATTTAAAATGCTAACTAGTTATTTGGTTATTTTCTAGTCTTCTGTTAGTCTCCCACGCATCCGTTTTTAGGGAGCGTTGCCGACACTAAAAACGGATGCGAGGGAGACTAGTCTTCTGTGAAATCTATTTTTTCAATAAAATATGACTTATTTTTGACAGCCTTTCATGTTTAACTTGTTCGCGTGTTTTTACCATAAAAAGGGTGAACTTCCACGTATTCTGACGGCTAAACGAAGTCTGGGACCCCCGTTAGGTTGTATTTGCTTATTTTACTTCTATTATGATGTTCTTCCATCGTGCAAAATTTTTAAAAAATCTGACGATGGGAACTTTTGCCCATGAACGTTCTATATCGTACCTATAAATTCCGAATTGTCCTCGAGATCGTGCGATTTCCTATACAAATCATGGAACTACAACATCGCCTTTTTTATCTCTTACAGTACAAGCGCCACAGAGGGCCATGATCCATGCCGTCCAATAAGTCTATCTACCACAGGACAAATCAACCATAAATATATTAAGGTCGCTGGCAGACGTGGATATTCTTTCAGTTCCGAAAAAGCTAGTGGAGGACAATCTTTTTCGCAGCCCTGCATTTACGACGAATTGGACGAATTGGCTTTTTAGTGGGGTTTTTAGGTAAGCTCATTTTTTAACCTCCCAAAAGGTTTTTCGTTTTTGGGAATGATATTTCTATTCTGTTATGATATTTTTAATATGCCTGTTAACATTATTTGTACCTGATGATATTTCTCTTTCCATCGGATATCAGAGTTCATAAACGGGAGGGAGGGGGCGTCTCCATTTTTTCCAGCCTTGAGCTAGTTTCAGAACAGTGTTGTTTTCATTCGTGACTCGTCACATAGCAACTGCTGTATTGCTTCGGGGTTTTTGTTGTGGCTAATACGACTAAACCTCCATAGCAGTTGGAAAATGGACCAAAATGAGGCTAAGTTGCAGACTGAAATGCTTTTAAAAGGTAAATCCGCCCTCTATGTAGTAGATAGTTTTATAGTCTTGTGCAATCTGCTTTGTATTTTCACCTATCCATGTATGTGCTGATATTTGTTTTTATTTATCGCGGGACGTTTCGATGATCCGCGCGTCATTTTTGTCGCGGCTCGGACGTGTCTTTTATTGAGGTAATGTTTTTTTTGGTAGAAAGATAGAGAATTGTCAATTCATTTCAGGACATTTGATTAAATAATAATTTGGCTTTAAGAATATGTCAGTTTTATGATTTGTTGTTCCCTCAAGCCTCATATTAATCCTTTTGAATAAGTCAGATTGGAAAGCAAACAATTCTTCCTCCACATTTTGAATGCCTTGGAATGCGCTTTACTTCTTTATAAATGATAAAACATGGCTATTTTATTCTCAAAACAAATATTCAGTTGYATGTTTTTTTCCATTGAAACATGTTTGAAGTATTTTTTTTTTAGTTTTAGAAATTTTATACTCGTTCAACTGCTAGACACAGGTAGTCCAAAGAGAGTCTTTAAAGCTCAACATTTATTTTGAAGTTCTTACTGATTATTTTTATTTAATACTAGCAAGAAAATCAGAAAAGACTTTTCTTCGCTTTTGCAGAGCGAGCTTGCAATGATTTCAATGAAACGCATTAGACTACATGATTTACATAGAATAAATTATGCCTGTTTTGAAAGAGCAATCTCAGCTCCATAGCCCTAATAACTGAACGATTATCAAAGTCGTACGCCCATAATCTCTCTAATAACAAAAGCTTTGGATTATTATTTCTATTTTTACCGGGCTTCTATTTTGAGGTTGGTTCTTGATGTTCTTACTCGACATTCCGCTATCCTTCTAAGTTCCATCTCCTAAATTAAACCATACCCTTTCCCCAAGTATCCGCAAAATAACTCGTAAAACGTATACTATACAATGCCTAAAATTTGTGTTGATTGCAAAATCCTTTATAGAAAATCGTCATTGAAAGGAATATTTTGACCTTTTGAGCCGTCATCTATTCGTCTTCAAACTTCACGAATGGAAACAACACACTGTTCCAGCCATTAGCCTAGATACGCCCTCTCCCTCCTGTTCATAACATAACAAAGTTTTTATTAACGAATTTAAGCACGTAAAATTATCAATCCTAAAGAAGTTGGACATAAAATATTTTCACTAATATAACCACCTAAAACTATCTGCAAATAGTCTAAACCTACTAATGATGTATTACAAATCCTGCCCTCTGATTGGCTGAGCTACTAGTGGTCTATTGGTGATAGCCCACTACTGAGAAAACGCAAAGAGCGGGTTTGAAAACCAAAACAGTGGRGTCTAACTAACTTAAAAACAAAAAAATGCATTAACTTGACCGATTAGAAGGTTTATACTAAAACAATTAGACCTCTCGTCCTCATAGTCTACAAGTCAATAGCCWATTTGGCCTTCGACCTCGTGAGCTATTGACTTGTAGACCATTCGGRCAATTGAATCTATCTACGATTTTATTTTGCATGTTATACATGTTTTTTTATGATGTACGCACGAAAAGAATGTACTCTCTGCAAACAGTGCTTCGAATTCTTTTCCTTGTCTTGATTGACATTGTATGGCACTCCCGTCTGATATCCAGACGTTAAACTAGACAGAGGGGAACGATGTTATTATTTGCTGATAATGTCACATATTTAACCCTCTCTAAATATTTATCAAATCTATTTACGATTTTAATTTACATGCTATACGAGTTTTTATCGTATGCACAAAAAGAACTTTTGCATAAAGGCGCATAGYTGTCCTACACCCACATTGTTTATAGGCTCCTTACATGTGACGTCAAAGCATCTCGACTGGGGGACAAGGCAAAAGAATTCCAATTTCCTGAGAATTGGAACCTATTGTTTTGTCCCCCAGATTGAGTTACATTTCAACGTGCTGCAAGGGGTCTATTAGCCAGTGAAAAAGGACTGGGTTCTAGTTTGAACAACTAAAATAATTAAAGTAGTGTAGAAAATTATCCAATCACGACCAGTTTAAAATATGGCCATATACTAACAATGTTATGAGCATAAAAACACTGCCAAAATTGCATYGAGATATATATATATAGTGTCCAAACACACAAACATTCTCTGTATCGTTATACAGTATGTTATTTCTAATATCACAACTTAATTATTTGAATTTGACCAATTTTGATCAAATTCTCAAGTTAAACTAATTTCTACGTGATTTTTATTGTGAAGGGGATCATTTTACAATAACAGTGTTGTCATGAGCATAAAAACCGTGCCAAAATTACAT